GGGGGGGGGGGGGTTATAAAGATACGGTCCAAAAATATACCTTTGTTGGATCAACAGCGTCAAGATAGAGAAGCTGCGCAACTATAATATTTGCCATATCATCATCAACTGCCCCACCACATCGTATGATCCTCTAAGATTCAACAACACAACAAAATAAGTTTGAGCAACTACAATTTTCTTATAGAGTAATAAAATTTAGCAAGTACATCAAACTTTGCAGTCAAAACTGAAGAAATAATAAGGAAAAAGAATGCATACATATTGGAAGAGCTGGCTGATCACACTCATAAACCGCTCTTGCACCATTGGAGGTGGTCCTTGACCTTGGGCATAAGCAGGAAAATAGGGCGATGATGGCACTTGCAAGTCATCTCTGCAAATGTCGTACACCAAGCAAATGTGTAAGAAATAACTTCTTTCTATGATATTCTTAAGAACGATAGCACAATTAAGTCATTAACATCAGATTCTTAACAATTATGAGATTCAAAAGTCAACAGGACCGATTTTTTTCCCTCGCCATCTATGAAATATAGACTCTTCATTTTCCTAGACATAAATGGGTGTGTACAACCAGTTGTTAAAAGAAAAAATCTCTGATTCCTGAATTAAAAAAACCTGCCAAGACTTTAAGCATATCCATGTCATATTTTTATCTGAATTTGTTAAAGATATTCGAAAGACAATATAACACATCCTCTCTTAAATTCAATCAGAAATTGACTTAAGAGAATCACTTTCTTTTATTAAATATTTTGCTAGTTCAGGTTCTTCATGGAAAAAAAATGAACAGTCAAATAGTAATATGTTAGGATCGGGAACGGGGATAGTGCGGAAATAAGAATACAGCATTATAAAAATGATAATAATAAAGATAATAAAGAGACCAAGAATTTAATGCGGTTTAGTCAATGCGACCTACGTCCACAAGCGGAAAGAAGAAAATTTACTATACCGACAAGAGTATAAATTAGAGTAAATATTGTAACTAATCTCCAAAGGCGGATTTATAGGGGAAATTATGGGGCACGTGAACCCATGGTCTTTCCGCAAAATTAGATATTTTATGTACATATTTTTTTAAAATTGGTATAAATATTAACTGTTGGCACCCATGCTTCAAGAAGGTTGAATGATACACTTGGTTGAAGATTGAGTTTTTACCGAGAGGAATAGGGATCAATTCCCGCTTAATACATTTTTTTCTCCTTTTTTAGTAGTGCACCCATGTACTAGAAATCCTAGGTCCGCCTGCGCTAATCCCAAATACCCTGAGAGAATAACCTCAAGAAAACACTCACAAAGAAATCCACAAGTGTTTCCTAAAACAACTCACGAAATACTCTTTATCACAAAAGAAGACACTCTTAAAGTGTTTCTTGCTCTCTTAATTGGTATATTAAAGTAAGAAGAATTACTCTCCTTTTATAGGAGTAAAATTAAACTCGGGCTCCAAGTTGTATAAAAACAAAAGGAAAGAAATGTCCAAATAATTTCTCCACCACATGAACCATTCTTTGGCTCCAAGCAATATTGTCAGCCAAGGAAACTCCAACAGGCACATGCCTAATGCTAAGAATAGGATGGCCAGCGATATCATTTCTATAAAAGCCAAAAGATGGCCACATTTGACATTACAAATTTTCACCTTGGCCTAATTTTGGCTGATATTGTAAATTTGTTCCAACCTCTTCGCAAAAACTCTTATGGACTAGATCATTCTTCATAAATGTCAATCAAGTTCAAGTAGCTTGGCAACTGCGAGAGGCTTCATGAACATATTAGCATTGTCTCTAGTGTTGATCTTCTTAAGAGACTTTTCCTACCAAAGAGATAGAAGAGCCAACAAGTTATTCCTGGTCCAAAAGAATTATTTGGCGAAGGTCTTGGAGAGACTCGGCATGAAAGATGTTAAGCCAGTGAATACCTCTTTTGCTGCTCATTTTAAGTTGTCAGCTACTTAGTCACTGCAATCAAACGAAGAAGAGAGGCATATGGCACAAGTACCTTATTCCATTGTAGTCGGCAATATTATGGACGCAATGGTTGTACACATCCGGACATTCAGTAAGCTAATATATGGCTTGCCCTAAAAAACACATGGCTGTGAAATGGATTTTCAAATACTTGCGAGATACTTCAAACACATGTTTGGAGCTCGGGTCAAATACTAACACTCTGGTTGGTTTTGTAAACTCAGATTATGCATGTGATCTTGACAAAAGAAGATCACCAATAGGCTACGTATTATGCATTGGTGGTTGTGCTATCAGTTGGAAAGCGAGAATACATCATTTATCTACAACCTAAGCAGAATATATTAGCGACCAAGGCAATCAAAGAATGATGGTCATATTTGCCGAATTCAGTTTACACCAGGGTGGCATTATAATTTTATGTGACAATAAAAGTATCATTAGAGAGCAGGCAAGCAGGCCTATGTTCTTCACTATATCTTATCTTGATTCAACCCAAAAAAGGGGCATACACCAAGATACCCATTTTTCTTCCCCTATTTACCTTGCCCATCAACAAAACAAACCATTATAAGAATAACCGAAATATATGAATAAAAGGAAACTAGGGGGAACCTTATAGACCAAATCCCAGTTGGTGAAGTAATTCCAGAATCCCAGTTGGTTCCAGAGTACACGGCCTTCACTGTACTCTTTCCCCGATTCTTCACCTTTAAATTCCTGCGCAAAATCAATAAAGCAAAACCATTAGAGAAAGTGTTGTCGTTATTCACATTTATATAAGTAAGCATATACGAACTCAGCTAAGTACCTGAACTGAAGGGTCTTAAAGGGGAGGGTATTAGGGTAAGCTTCAGGAATAGTAGAGGAATCAGAAGAGAAGTTGAATTTAGAGATAGAGGAAGTCGTGGCCACGCACGAATGGGCCATTTTTCTTGGATTTTTAGAGAGAGAAAGAGGGAATATTTGCCAAGTTCAGAGGAAGGAAAGGATAGGTCATTGAGCAGGAGCTTTACCAACAATACCGGAGGTGCTCTTTCTTGTTCAAACGGGAATTTAGAGAAAGTTTGAGCGTATTGTTTAACCCAAAAATAATTTTACGATGAGATAATTAAATTTATTTTTAATGAGTTCACTAGCAATATGAATTAAAGTTTATTTGAATGAATCATAGAGTTAAGCTATCTGACCAAAAATAAATAAGCAAAAGGAAAAATAATCTTATTGAGCTTCGTAATAGTCCACAATGCTTGTAAAGTGTGATCCATAATACTTGTAAAGTAAAGTTAGATTGACTGCCTAACCTGACCGGAATATAGTAGCTTTGAATAATGAGCAAGTTAAGAGAAAACTAAGTGAGTCCCAAGTAAAAGGTAATGGGTATATTTATAGTCTAAGTCTAACGTTCACATACTTATCTCATTTCTACACGTAGCTCCAAGTGGTTAACAACTGCCAAGATACTCGCCGGTTATGAGAGGAATATCAGGTGTAGTGGATATGAGTGGATCTTTAAGATCTCGGGGACAGTTGAGGACCAAGTCAAATCCCGAGCTATTACTTTAGTGATGGATCTCTTGAACCATCTTTGAGGCGCTTCACCAGGACATGACTCTCATCTCCCCCGGAAGAAGTTACCGGATCAGAGACACTTCCTGCAGGGACAAAGTTTCGGTATCATTTTATTCCCGAGATAAACATATTTCAAGCAATATCGTGTCTTCGTGTGATTTATCCACGTGTCAAAGCCAGATTTTACCAATACAAATAGCCCCATATTTTTTGGATAATTCTCAAGAAATGTCCTAAAGTGGTATGATCTTTGGCGTGTCACAAAAGGATTTCTGCGGGATTTACGACGCAATCGTCATTATTTTAGAATCTGAAAAGACATCTAGCCAGTTTCATTTAAAATCCCAGATACGTGGCGGGTGTTAACGGGTTATGACGCCGCAACGGTTACCAAGGTCATGATGACCACGCCTATAAGAATTGCCTTCTTCCTTTGTCCTTGTTACCTTTTACTCGAACTTCGTATCTAAAATTCTTCAAACCCTATATTGTATTTCTTAAGAAACCATTGACGTCTTTACTTCTTATTTTTTCTCAAATTCCCATCACAACTTTCAATGGCTTCTCCAAATGCTTCAACTAATGTTCACGAAATAACCTCCACCAATGAGGTTGTCGTTGTTGCTCCTCTACCTACGACCACCGCAGCCATAGAAAATATGATGGCGGAAGAACTATATGTTCTTACTAGAAGAAGCAGGGGTAGCAAACCCTCCACGACAGCGGGAGAGGGATCATTGGCCCCCGCTAACAAAAGCGAAGAGGTTCCGACCACCATATCCTGACGGTAGTGGCGCAATCCCCTGCTAGGAAGGACAGAGCAACCAAAGCTTCAGGTGGGGGCAATAAAGAACAGAACGAACCAATAACTTTGGAGGTTCTTCTGGAGATGTTCCATCTTATTGACCATGTTGGCTACAAGAGCACTATCCGGAAAAGTCAATTAAAAGCTTCATGCCAGCTTTACAAGAGAAGCATTTTTTTGGTCTTGAGAGATTGTGCCTCGGAAGGTAAGGTTCTGTCACGACCCCAAATTCTCACCTTAGGATGTCGTGATGTCATCTAATCTCTAAAACTAGGTAAGCCTAACATACATTGAGAATTAGCAGAAATAACAACTTAGATATCAAATTAAATTGTTAAACTATCATAATAAAATCCAAACGGTACAGCTGTCAAATATCTCCCAAAACTGGTGGAACTGAGTCATAAGCTCTAACAGAGGTATACTTAGAATCTCTAAATACAATATTGTTTTGAACTGAAAGTAAATAGTAGTACAGCCAAAATTAGAAGGTGGCTCTGAGGCCTGCGAGCGTCAAGCAGGTTTACCTTGAAGTCTCCGAGTAACTGATCAAAATCACTAGCGTCCGATATGAGCGGATGTACCCGGATCTGCACAGAAATGTGCAGAATTGTAGCATGAGTACAACACAACGATACCCAATAAGTATCAAGCCTAACCTCGATAGAGTAGTGACGAGGTCAGGTCAAGACACCTACTAGACGAAGAAATTTGAACATAATATAATAAATCTAGTAACGGAAGATAAAGGCAATTAAATAACAATAAAGCAATTTATCAATACAGGGCTAACAGCTGAAATAAAGCAATAAATGACAACAAGAGAGTACATGTGATAAGACAACAAGTAACCAATTACGATCAAATCACAAATTTAAAGAAATAAGGAAACAAGAACAACAACCATTCAAGATGCAGTTTACCTAAGGGCATTCCCCTTCACATTTAAAGATGATGCAAAGCACTGTCTTCAAAGCTTGCCCCAGGGATCGATTAGAACATGGGAGGAGATGACCAGAAAATTTCTTACTAAATTTTTCTCCTCACCTAAAACATGCAAGTTTAGAAGAGAAATCCATAACTTCTGTCAGAATGAGACTGAAACTGTGTTTGAAGCTTAGGAGAGGTTTAAGGAGATAGCGCGAAAGTGTCAACATAGCGAAATTGAACTCTGGATTTAACTCCAGAATTTTTGGGATGGATTGATACCGGCTTCACGCAGAACATTGAGCAACGCAGCTGGAGGTCCGTTGATGAAGAAGACACCAGAGGAGATAGTCATTATTCTCGATGAATTGTTTGAAGATGCAAATTAATGACCCTCTTAAATTGCTGAAAGAAGAAGGTTGAATGGTGTTCACCAGGTTGATGCTAACACATCTGTGCAGGTACAGCTTGATGCCATGGCGAAGGAGATAAGGAAGCTGACCTTAGCTTCGATACATAATGAGCCTCATGCAGCATATGATATATGTGGAAGAGGATACCCTACCCATGAGTATCAAGCCTCATCTGAGGAAGTAAATGATGTGGGGAATTATAACTTTAATCCAATGGGTTAGAAACACCCTGATTTTTCATGGAGTTCACTTGGGAGTACTACAAATGCATGGCAACAAAATAACTCCAGATTTCAAGGAGCTCTTGGTTTTGTGAATTAGCCGAGGCCGCAGTTTCAGCCTCAATAACCAATTCAGTCTGGGTTAGAAGATCTGATGAAATCCTTCGTTGTCAAGACTGATGAGAGATTAGATGCTCATGGTGCAGCTATCAAAGAACTTTGGACAGGTTTGCGTAACTTGGAGAGACAAGTGGGACAAATTGCAACTATATTATCTGAGAGAATCTCAGGTACTCTGCCAGCTGATACTGAAAAGAATCCCAAAGAAACAGTAAATATTGTAACCTTGAGAAGCGGACATGTGTTGAAAGATCCCACTCCAATTCACAAAGAAGCTGCGCCTGAAAAAGAAAGTGGGAAGGAGCTGAAAATTGAAGATGATAAAAATACTGAGAAGAAGAAAGGCAAGAGGGGAGTTGAGAAAAAGAAGAAGGAGAAAACTTCAAGAAGGGGGGAATCTGATGATGTGAGCAAGCACATGCCTGCTTTACCTTTTCCCCAAAAGCTTTATAGAGAGAAGCTGGACAAGCAATTTGAGAGATTTCTGGATATGTTGAAACAAGTTAATGTAAATTTTCCATTTACTGAAATTCTCTCCCAAATGCCAGCTTATGCTAAGTTCTTGAAGGAAATCCTGACAAAGAAGAGGGAGATAGAATAGACCTCAATGGTCAATCTCACAGAGCATTGCAGCGCAATCTTGCAAAACAAACTCTCATAAAAGTGTGGAGATCCATGGAGTTTTATTATACTTTGCTCATTAGGCACTCTTAATTTTGATAAGTCTTTGTGTGATTCTGGTGCCTCAATTAATTTAATGCCTTTGTCTATTTACAGAAAACTAGAGAATGAGCTTGGAGTATAAGGTCTGCACCAATATCTCTGCAGCTGACAGACTAAACAACTATAATACCCGAGGGGATAGTGAAAGATGTATTAGTTCGGGTAGATAAGTTCGACTTTCCTGTAGATTTCATAGTGGTAAATATGGAGGAAAACAAAGAGAAAGCCCTAACCATGGGAAGACCATTTTTAGCAACGGGTAGAGCTATACTGGATATACATGATAGAAAACTCATGCTTAGAGTGGGTGAGGAGACGATGACATTTGAGATGAATGTAGCAACTGGAGTGAAAAAGGAGAAGCCAGCTACAAGTATTGAGTGGAGAGTGAAAAGTGTGAATGCGAAGGTCCCAGTGATTGAGAAAGATAAGTGTGGGGTGTACCCTAAGAAGGCGGAGAAGAAGCTGTCTGCATGGATGTGTTCATTGGTTCGGGTGCGTAGAATGGAGCCCGACTTCGACTCAGACTCCGACTGAAAATTCAGGAAAGTTTCCTTTACCCTATGCTTTTTAATTGTGTGGCATGTCTTTTAATTGTGTGTCATGGGGACATGCCACAACTTAAAGTATGAGGTGGGGAAAATTGTATGTTTTATGTATATGTGTTAGTAATTTAGTTTTGTTAGTTTTGTTGTTTTAGTATTTAGAGATAGAAAAATGAGAAAAAACATAAAAATTTAAAATTTCTGACTTTTCCCGACTATGGATATCATTCGACAGGTTTCTTGAGGGATTAAAGTCGAAAGAAAAAGACAAAAAGATTTTCTTTTGTTAGGTATTGTAATAACTTCCCCTTGGTTGTTCTTTGTGCCGCGGTTCTTTTCCAAGAGTTTTGTTTGAACCAGGTGTAGTTAGTTTTTATTTTTGTTAGGTGTAGGAACCCTTGTACTGGTTTGAATTGAAAGCAATATCTCTTGACTTGATTATGCCTTGAGAATAATGAGTGCTTTAGTTGTGAGGCTTAGGCTCAGATTTTGACTCTTGCATAAGTACTTTAAATTGTATAATTTTAACTTTGCTTAACTTCTTGGACTAGAGCGTCTTGATAGTCCAATCCTGAGTGAGTTATGTGCCATGTGTGTGTGAGGTTTTGTTGTATTCTGTGCATTGCATTTGATGTCTAGAACTTGCCCCGTGTGTTTGCAACGCGAAATGATAGTTTTATTGAGTCTAGGAAGTGATATAGGCGTTTCTTTGTTGAGCCAATTATATGTTATTA